TATCTATCTATCTATCTATCTGTCTATCTGTTTATCTATCTATCTATCTGTCTGTCTGTCTGTCTGTATATCTGTATATCTGTATATCTGTATCTAGGTAGACATATTTTATTTAAACAATAATGTATTATTCTTGAGAAATCCCCCTTCAGGTTTTTTGTTTTTTTACTTATTTTATATTTATATTATATATTATGTATTTGCATTTATTTTGTATTTATATTAATATATAAAGGAAAGCATGTTTTATGTGCTCTGGCTGGTTTTCACCATTTTTAATCAACGTTTTGCCTTCATTAGTTATTTTTAATAGTCCTGCAGCATGACACAGAAGTGTTTAAAAGTATAAATATTTAATGTAATTAGCCAATTAATATTAGGAGCTCATGAAAAAATGTAAATTGAATAATTAGAAGAACTGTGAATTATACCACAGGACAAGACTGAAACTGCTTGAAAGGCATGTCAAGTAGCCGGGTGCTCTGTCCATGGTGCTGAACTAATCGCAACATGAGAGGTGGCTGAGGTTAATTCCACTAAGAAGAGTCTCTTGATAAAGAGGATTTTGCAAGGGAGGTTTCTGCAAGGTCATGTTCACTTGGTGAAAGAAACCCCATGATAACCTCAGTTTATGTTTATATTGATGTGTTAGAACTGCTTGATGAGTTAGATGCTTTACAAATGTGAACATTAAGCATGCTGCCATTTAAAGTATCCAGATCATTTTGGCTTGTTTTCCCCAGACATGATCTATGACCTTTCATCTTTTGAGAGTGAAAGAAGTGCCAGTGTGAATCAGATTAGCATCTTTGAACTCTGTACTGAGACAGCCAGTCAAAGCCAAGAGATAAAGGTTCACATCAGCTTTTATAAGAAGGATCTAATTTTGGTGAGCTAAATTAATTAATGGCCATGTGAATGTGAAAAGTGCAAGCTGGTTTCAATGTATTGCATTTCTTTATAAGAATATTTTTGTAATTTTATGATGGCCATTACAGAATATTTTTGTGCTAAGGCTAATATTGATACATATATTTTAAAATCCCATTAACCAGGAAACAATTGGGCAGCTGGACCTTGATCTTAGAAATACTAAGAGTGAAATGGCCCGTCACCTCCGGGAGTATCAGGATCTTCTGAACGTCAAGATGGCATTAGACATTGAAATTGCAGCATACAGGTAAAGCACCAATGATTCCACTTTAATTGCACATGAAATAACTAATGCAATGAGAATGAAAATGAATAAGGACTAACCAGTCGTCATTGATGTCCTCATAGAAAGCTATTGGAGGGTGAAGAAACCCACTTCAGTTCTGGGGTGACTTTCTCCAGCACACCCAGCATCACTTATGGGTATCAGAGCCGCTCCGCTTTCACCTCTACCCGCAATCCTAAAAAAGAGAAAGAAGAAGAGGGACATGGCAAATCCAAGGCAGGAGCCAAGCGGGAGGAGAACCCGGAGGAAACCGCTGTGATTAAGAAGGCAGAAAAGAGCGATACTGTTGATGTTAACTCTATCTAGAATGTTACGGTTATTAAACCTATACTTCTCCAGCTATTGTTTGGCACAGTAATCACTGCTAGCTAAAAACTGCCACTTGTTGTTTATAGTAATTGGTAACACGTTTAATATATTGCAATGGTGATATAATGTTTCAAATACCATATCTACAATATACTGGTTTAATACTCCGGAACTTAGGCCTCAGATATGTCGTTTCTTAATTGTAGATTCAGAGAGTATTTTTGTCCTGTTAATGGTGTTAGGAGTATAAATATGAACTTCAATATTAAGGGATGACTAAGATATAGCCAGCATTACCACTGATCCAACGATTATGGATAAATGTACAATTATTTATGAAAGGTTTGTTGGAAAGCACTATATTACGAATAAGGGACCAAACCACTTAACTGTTACACATGTATATGCCTTAAACACAATAAAGTCAATAATTGAAATGTTATGTTTTTGTTTTTATTCATAAATCACTCTCAACATCACTAATCTTATCTGTCTCATATCAATAAACGTGCATTACATTTAATGTTATTACACTGTTCTTAATGGCTGTTTATTTTTAAAACTCCTTAAAGAGTCGAGATTTAGCACATTAAATAGGTAGTTTCTTTTACTTGCAACTCATTTAATTTAGCCGTAGTGGTTTGATGATTCTTTATGGTTTGAGCCTTTATAAACAATGTTCTGTTAAGAGCTACAATACCGTGTTTGTGGTTGGTAAGATTTTGAATGCCTTTGAAAGACGTTTCTTATACTTGTCAAGGCTGAATTTATTTGATAAATTCAGATACTGTGAAATATTACAATTTAAAATAATTATGTTCTAGTTGAATTTATTTAAAAGAGTAATTTATTCCGGTGATGGCAACGCAAAATGTTCACTTGAGGCTTCAGTGTCACATGATCCTTCAGAAATCATTCTAATCTGTTGTGGTGATAAAATAACATTTATTATTGTTATTGAAAACAGTTGTGCTGCCTTACATGTTTGTGGAATACATTTGCCCAGGTTTTGATAATTAAAACAAAACAACAGCATTTATTTGAAATGGAAATATTTTGTAACATTATAAATGTCTTTAATGTCACTTTTGATCAATTCAATGGATCTTTGTTGAAAAAAAAAAATTTCTTTCAGAAAAATCTTACTGGCCCCAAACTTTAAAAAATGAGTGCACATGTAATCATCTAAATTGCATTAACTATCCTGTTCAATGGCAGAAAGATGACCTCCTATTTAAATGCTTATGGATTCTGTCTCTCCACAAAAAACAGGGGAAGAATTTAGTTATGATTGATTATATCTTGCCACTCCACTCAGAAAAAGGCTTCTGCTTTGTGTTGTTCCGAAAGACTGTCAATCACTGAAAAATATGGGAGATGCCCCTTTAAGAGTCACGGTCTTTTTTTCGAAAAAGGTCAGTAAATTCCCTTTATAATCACCAAGACAGTACTGGATTAAAAAAAA